ATTTCTTTAAACAGGTTCTCTATTCCTTTCTTTGATTCTTCTCCTTTTGGTACCCCTGTAATGCGAATGTTGTTACATTTTGTATTGCCCCACAGCTCCCTTAAACTCTCCTCCTGCTTTTTAAACTTTTTTTTCCATTTGCTGCTCTATTTGGGTGTTTTTTCCTACCTTGTCTTCTAAGTCGCTGATTCGGTCTTCAGGGTCTTTTAATCTACTATTGAACCCTTCTAAGGTATTTTTCATTACAGCTATGTCATTCTTTATTTCCTCTTGATTTTTATGCATAACTTTTACCTCTTTATGTGTAGCTTCTACCTCTTTTTTTTAAGCTGAAGTAGTTTCCAATGAGCTCTTCATAATTCTTATTAAGTTGCTTGTAGTTCTCACCAAATTATTTGAGCACCCTTAAAATCATTGCTTTGAATTCTTTATCTGACAAGTTGCTTTTTTCCATTTCCTGTCGTTCCTTTTCCAGTGATTCCTCTTTTTCTTTCCTTTGGGTATTGTTTCTTTGTCTCCCCATTATAGCCGTCTGGTAGCTCTATATCCAGTGAGGGATGTTTGGGTGTGTAGGCAGCTCAGTGTATATCAAATAAGGCTACTGTGCCTCCCAAACTATTCTGTTGCATGTCGCCTCTTGCCTGCCGTGGATCCTGGAGGATTGACTACTGGGGGCTGGTATTGGTGTGTCCTGGTAGGTGCTGCTGCTGGATTGCATGGGCCCCTCTGAAGCTGTGTTCCTGCTGGTCTCTGGTGCCACCTATAGCTATATTTCTCAGGCTCTGCTGGAGCCATACTCCTTGCTTACACCTTGGGTGGCTGGGTCACACAGGTCCCTCCGGATCCCTGGCTCCACACCACTCTTGTGGGCCTCTGGGTCACACAGGTCCCTCTAGATCTCTGGCTTCCCACTGCTCTTGTAGGCAGCAGTGTTGCACAGGCCCCGATGGAGCCCCAGGTCCCGTTGCTGGTGGTTGGGGGGTGCTGCTGCCCAGTGGGGTTCAGCTCCTGCTCAGCCTTTGCTGTAGTTTTTGGGGATGGTTCTCTGCTGCTGGTCTGTGCTTCTGTTGCCTGGGGATGGATGTCTGCTCCCCAGCCTCTGTTGCTGGGGGTATATCTTGACTCTGATCGGGCTGCTACTGTGGGGGATGATGCTGGGCTCCCGGCCGTTTGCAATTTCTGCAACCGGCACCTTGACAGCTCCACTACTATGCACTGGTCTGTTTTGACACAGTGTGTCCACTGGTCTGATGGTGCCAGGTGCGCTGGTGGGCTCACATTGCTGGGCTCTAGCCACTCCCACTGCCTCCTCCCAGGGAAGACCCGGGATCTTCCAAAATGGTGGGACCTCCCCACTGCCCAGGGAGAAGCACCCTGAAGAGCCACTTACCATAGTAGCCGGCTGCTCCTGTCCACAGCACAGGAACCGTCTGCTCCGCGTCTCTGCACTGCTCGGGTTTGGTCATCCACCTTCACGTCTACTCATACTCTCTCACACACTAGCTCACTCTCTCATGCACTCACCCTCCCTCTGGTCCTGCCTGCCACCATCTTTTTTCTATCTGAATTGTTTTTAAAGCCCAAATGCTACCATGTTCCAAGGTTACTTAGTTTGTCATGAACCTGACTCAGAGTGTGATCTTTGGTAGCCTAGCCAGCTGTCATGTCATTACATCACATTTTATCTAATCTTGGTGTCTTTTTTTTTTATAATGGTTGGTATTAATATTATTTTGCAGTTAAAGGGACTAGCATTTTCCCTAGAAGTAGGAGATTTGGCATAACCGATCTTACATATTACCATAACAGCATAAACTGCTTAAAAATACTTGATTTCTATTAAAATTGAGCCATTTCTTTTCTCTCTTTTTTTAAAAGTCTCCTTTTGTGCTGATTTTATTCCTTTGATTCTTAGGTACTTTTTAAATATTATTTTTTGTCATCTCAATTTAAAGCTGGTCATAAAAACATGTTTAGTTTTTTTGTTTTGTTTTTTTAGAGAGAGAGAAACATCAATTTGTTGTTCCACCCATTTATGCATTCATAATTGATTCTTGTATGTGCCCTATCCCAGGTTCGAACCTGCAACCTTGGCATATCACGCTAAAGTTTTTGATAAACTGTAGTTCAGGATGTTAGAGTAGGCTTCTGTGGCCTTACTTAACGGTAGTGGGGCAGTCGCTTTGACCAGAAAGTCCGTGTTCATTTTACCTTTGCATATGTGTTGTCTTAGCTAAAAACACTCACATACTTAAAGAGATTTTATTTTGAAAGAAAATAAATAACAAGCCAAAGCTGCACTAACTTTCCTCTCTGTTTTGTTGATTAGGATAAGTTCTGAAGAAAACCAGGTATCTTCTTTCCCAAAGGTCTGTAAAAGTAGGGTAGATGATTATCATTTTGGAATGGAATGAGTATAGCTCTGCCTGGAGGCTGGAGAAAACCAGGTGAATGAATCTCACTCTCTTTCATCAGAATTGGATTTTCAGGCCTGGGCCCACACTGGGTTAGTGGGTTTGGGGTGAGGCCCTTGGAGGCATCTGATTTTAATGGCTCACCAGAGGATTTGGCTTTATTCATCTTTTTATCTTTAAGATTTGATACATGGGTACTTGTCGACTCTCATAGAAGTTCAGAATAGAAACAACGTTTAAATATAGTTAATAAATTTCACTTCCTACTCAATGTGGCAATATTCATTCCTTAGGAACCAGAGTCTTACCCCTAGTCTAGCTTAAATTTAAGAAAGCGATGCCAAGACATCTTTTCCATTTGAGACTTAGTTGCAACAGGCAGGTTTATTTGAATATCTGCTGCTGCCTGGAGATCATTTGGGGCCTTCAAGGCATATATGCTTTAGAAAATCGAGAGAAGAGCATCTAGAAGAATGCACAGCCCTGCACCTTCCTCTCCTATCTTTTACCTCTGGATCCCCTAGTCTTTCCAGAAGTTTTCCCACAGGTGGCACTGAATATACTTAAGTGCATTTTATTTGTGATAATCTCCTTGTGGATTGTGAACTTTGGTATTTGGTTAGAGAGTGGACTTTGCATTTATAATTCAGATAGAAGGAAGAGGGCATTTTATCCATACTGATTTCTAAAGTCCTGAATTTTTCTGACTAGGGATTAGACCTAATGGTGTTCTTCATGTTTCCAAGTTGATATTTTGTAACCCACTTTATGAAAACAATGGACTGATTGTCAAATTAGTATAGGTTACTTTCCCCTATGTGTGTTCTGTGACCATCTAGACCAGAATTTGGGCATTGGCCTGTTCTCTTTTTTGTTTTGATGTGATTATGTTTTGTTCTATAACAATTTTTAAGGAGATGATGAAGCTGTTTTTAAAAGTGCAACTAAAACAGCCTGTAGCTTAGCTTAGGGTAAGAAGCAGACACGTTGGCTGGCATACCCTTGGTTGGAACATCTTTGACAGTGTCATCATTGTCATCAGTGTCATCTCTGCCCTGTCATCATTGGCCCAAGGTTAAATCCATTTCTGAGGGCATTTTCCTTCCATCTTTATCCTCTAGAAAGGCATTTTACTCTAAGAGTACATTGTGTGAATGCATCCTGGGTGAATTGAACTTACCAGAAAGTGTGTTGAAATTCCCCCACAGTTTTGTGGGGTGAAATTTCCTAATCTCTCCTTCCTCCAAGTGGATGGGATGTGGAGGCAGAATCAGCAACTGAAAAAGAGTTACAGTTGAGGTTTCATTAGCCTAGAGTAAGTGGAAATTGTTGAGTCCGGTTACACAGACTCCCGGCTGGCTCTCTACACTGGATGCTTGAGCCAGTTTCCCTTGGCTCAGCCTAGCAAAGCTGTGGGAAGGGTTGGAATTGTATGGAAATTGTATGAATATTATTTTAAACTTCTTGGTAGTGCACAGAAACAGGGTGGTAAAAGGAAGAATCTAATTGTGGGGTTGGTGGTATCCTAAAAGTGCTGCATATTGTGGTGCTTTAAAACGTTAAGTAATCTATAATCTTCACAGAAGGCACCTGTCTTGCCTGTCTATTCCTGTAGAAAATTTTCAGTTATTCTACTTTGTGTTCCATCTGCTGTGATTTTGAATATAAATTTTTATTATAAACAGTCACGGTGAGTCAAACTCCTCAGCATGTCTTCTAGGGGAACGATGTGGCCTCTTCCTGTAGACCGTCCCCCCACCCAAATCGGACCTGTCTTGGTCAACCTTGAGTTCCTCTGCTGTGGCCTGTCTGCACTCCAGTGTCCCTCAGGCCCTGGATTGTTGTCTCCTTTTTTGGGATTTTTGCTCCCACACTTACTGGGCCTTCTACCTACATGATAATGCCTGCTGGTGCCCTCAACACCCTGCCTCAAATAAAACCCCACAGCAGCTGACTGACCCAGTGCAGCTGAATCTCAGCTCCAGTCTCAGCCTGCAGAGGCCATCTACCATCCGTCCTTCCAAGGGCCTCCTCTGCTGCTCTCCCATGAGCTCCATGCTGATGGCACTAGGTTTGTGATGGTCTGATGTCTGTCCATGCCTCCAAAGCCTGTGAGCTCCAGGCCCCTCTGCTGTTGTTCCTGTGGCCGTTTCCAGCACTATGTAATAGCTCAGAGAACATTTATGTGAATTGTTGCCATTTCAAGTGGTGTGTGGCTGGCTGTCCCAACAGCATGTGGCAGGCTTATGGTATTTTTCTAGACCTCAGAGTAGGAAGAAAAGGTTTGTCATGCAGAAGAGGACAGATCTGTGAACATGGGGCTGCCCCGGGGCTGAAATGGAAGTGTCTGGTTAAAACCATCATGCAGCGGCAGGAGTGGAGACAGGTGAACTGGACACTCTGCCTACCTGCCTGTAATAATTTGTTCTGTGGGGTAGGGTTACTTGAGATAGTCTGCTGGGGTCTACAGTGAGCTCAGGAAGAACGAGCTGGAGTTCAGGGTTGCTGTGGCTCCTGTTGGTTCTAAGGAACCAGAACTGCTTCCTTCCTGTGGACAATATGATTAATTCCTCCTTGTCCCTCCAGAGACACGCTGTATGCAAGATGGACCTTCTCCAACAGTGTCACCAACAACTCCCCACCATTCAACATCCCCTCCCCACCCTTCACCTCCTCACCCTTCTCCTCCCCACCCTTCGCCTCCCCACCCTTCACCATCCCCAGTGCCTGAGATCCCCTCGTCATATACGTACACTGTGAGTGGCACCAACGGAACCTGTCTGCTGGCCAGGATGGGGCTGCAGCTGAATGTCACCTACAAGAAGAAGGATAACACGGTAGGCTCAGCCCCGTGGAGCCCCTTTTTCTCTCTGCACTGCAGTGTTGGTGCACACAGGTGTCAGGGTTCAGTGTATGCGCACAGCCTTTCAGAATATAAGTCAGAGAGAATAAGTCAGTGTGCCTCCATCTGTAGTTAGCTTATTGGCCACAGCCTTACACACCCCTGTATATACTGTGGCTGCCTTCCTCTGACACGGCAGAATCGAGTCAACGGCAAAGACTACTGCATCGTCCACACAGCATAAAACATTGTGTTTGGCGTGCTACAAAACATGTTTTTTGACTCCTAAGAGAATGTTAAATTTTGCCTAAATTTTTAGCACTCAAACATTTAAATGTTAAAGTAACTTGTTTGTGATGAAGGTAAAGTGTGTGGCCACTGAGAGACAGTGCTTAGGGTGCTAGGGTCTCCACCTTTCCCCCAGGTACGCGTGGCTCTGAAAGGAGCAATCAGAAGTAACACTAAAAATTATTTTTGAATCCAGAAATCTACACTAGTATAAACTTTTAGTGTTTTCCTTATGGTTTTGATTAAAATGATTGTGGCTTTGAGGTTCCTGTTTTTAGGATTACTTTTGTTGTTTCAACAATGGAGGACCCAGGGCATGAGATGGAGTAGTAACTTGTTTGCTTTTCTTATTTAGACTATGACCAGAGTGTTCAATATCAACCCAAATAAGACCCACGTCAATGGGCACTGCGCTCCTCAGCAGGTGACCCTGGATCTCCAGAGTGAGAGCAGCACTTCCCTGTTCTTCCTGTTTGGAATGGTGAGGGTCCATGTGCTTTTCACTCGGGGGTTTCGTCGCCAGACCTGCTTTGCATCTTAACGTTCATCTCACTGTGGTTTTCTTTCTACTGTGTTTTCTGACATACTTGGTGCCTCGTGACCACGTGCACCTAAGCTGAGCATGCCACAGGCAAGCTGGAATGAAATTTAGCCTTCCCTTCTTTGTCATTTTTTTTGGACCCTCAGCTCTCCCTACCCTTTTCTTGTTTGCACATGAGCCTTCCTTCATTTATTCGTCAGACATTAGCGAGTGCCTGCAGTGTGCCCAGTAGCCACTGTTCACATCAGACCGCAGAGAGGGAAGGGGCCTCTTCAGGGCAGGTGCTCAGGTTGGACCCATTTACTGAGAAGCAGCATCTCTGCATTCCATACCTTCTTTTCTTTATACCTACTGGGAAGACACATGCATAAAGTTAAAATAATATGGGAAGAATAAAAATGCAACTCGTGAATATTTATAATGCACTATGCTGGTGAACTGTTTTAACAGTTGGGTTTCTCGTGATAAAGTTTAACTTACGTAAAGTTTAGTAAACATTTGTGTGTGTGGGGGGGTTACCTTTTGGGAATAAGGCTCCTTCAATCCTTTTAGTAGAGAATCTGTAAAAAGATCTGGAAGGAACGAATCAAAATTTGTGTTCTTAAGATTTATATGATACCTTTTACAGACATGATACTCTTCAGTTTCATTCTAAAGTTTAGAAATAGTGGGAGATCAAATTTATTACCCGAGTTTACAGAAAACATGAATTTATTGACTAGTTAAGGATTATCTTTTTCTCTTTAAGAATGCAAGTTCTAGCCATTTTTTCCTGCAAGAAATCCAGTTGAACATGACTCTTCCTGACGCCAAAGGTAAGATCCTCACAATTCACCTGCCCATCCAGGTGTCTCAGAGCACTAATTCTCACACGCCTTGCAGACCCCACCTTCAAGGCCACCAACAACTCACTGAGAGCACTTCAGGCCACTATGGGGAATTCCTACAAGTGTAACGCCGAGGAGCAAATTTGGGTCACAGAGGCCTTTTCTGTCAACATTTTCCAAGTACAAATCCAGGCTTTCCAGGTAGAAGGTGACAAGTTTGGGTCTGGTAAGTAGCATTGAAGGCAGTGTTTCAGATTCTGAGCGGGCTTCAACAGGCTTTGGTTCTGTTTAGATATTTAACAGCTTCTGTGTTGCAAGGAGGGGTCGGGGGTGCAGGTTTCCTTTCCCAGTCTAAGAGAGTTTTAGAGCACATTCCCCTTCCTCTGGTACCTTGCTTTCAAAATGTCCAGCATGGCCCTGTCCGGTTTGCTCAGTGGTTAGACCATCGGCCTGTGGACCAGAGTCCCAGGTTCGATTCCAGCCAAGGGCATGTTCCTCGGTTGCAGTTTGTCCCCAGCCCCGGTTGGGGTTATGCGGGTGGCAGCCAGTCGATGTGTCTCCCTCACATCGATGTTTCTCTCTCTCTCCTCCTCCTCCCACTTTGTCTGAAAATAAATGTAAAAATATTCTCAGGTGAGGATTAAAAAAAAATGTTCAGCATGTCTTAGTTGTGAGAACGTCACTCTTTGAGCAAAGGCAGTTGTTTCAAGAAATAGTGTAGCTCTTCCCTATGAAACTGGGATTTTAAAAATGCTGTCTGGCGATTTTAATGTCCAGAAGGGCCCAGACACCATGGACTACACCCTGACCATAATTTCCCAGCCATGAAGAATGCCCCTGTAGGAGCTTCTCCAAGTGATAGTTTATTGGAATTGGAGCCTCCCTTCCTAGTATAAGCCTCCTCTGCTGGGTGGTAGACAGAAGTCGAGAAGAGGGAGAGGCCTTTTAGTAGGGTCCATTTGGTGACAACCCATGTGAGCATGGTACACTCTCGTTTGTGTCCTCAGTGGAAGAATGTCAGCTGGATGAGAATAACATGCTAATCCCCATCGCCGTCGGTGGTGCCCTGGCAGGGCTGGTCCTTATCGTCCTCATCGCCTACCTCATCGGCAGGAAGAGGAGCCATGCCGGCTACCAGACGATTTAGCACGGCCGCAGACCAGCAGAAGCTACGGGGCCTGTGTTCATTTCCCTGAGCTTAGGTTGATGTTGAGGGAGGCATACTTTATTGCAAACTGATTTTCAGATCTGCTTTATCCAATGTGAAGTTCATCTGCAACATTTACTATGCACAAAAGAGTAACTATTGCAATGATGGTGTTAATTTTGCTAACGGGGTTAAATATTTTGCTAACTGGTTAAACGTTAATATTTACCAAAGTAGAACTTAAGGAGGGGAGGGTAAAGTGCTTTTCTAATTGGGCACTAGCTCCACTATCATTTGACTTTTTATGGTTCTGGTGTTTGGTCTCTCTTCATTCTTGACTCAGATATAATAAGCCTTACAAAGGGAGGTTCTCTGGTCTTAACACTTAAAACTGAAGAAAGCTGGCTAACTGTTAGACTGACACAGTTACTAAATTAGCAGAGAAAGAAAATTTTAAAACAGAAGTACTTCAAAAGGTGAAACTCTGGAATGCTTAAGTTAAGCTTTAGAAGCCAAGACAGGCCTGGCCCCAACGGGCTGCCCAGCTCAACACTCGAGTGAGCATTAAAGCGATTGGTCTTTCCGTGCTCTGCCACTCAAGAGCTGGCACCTTTTTAAATAGAAAAAAAAAAAAATGGGTGTTATTTTTATTTACTTTTTTTTGTAAAGTGATTTTCAATCTTCTGTTTGAGGTTCAGGGTGATCCTGTGTCTGCACTTGTGTACAATAATCAGTTTCACTCTCTGATTTATCTGCTTGCAGCTCAGGCGGGCTGTGCACTGAGGATCCCTTCATGTAACGCATTGCCGTAACAATGTTAATAAAACGTCTCTTTCTTTCTTTGTCTTGACCTTGTACTTTTGTCAGCTCTCTGGGTGAAGGGAGGAGAGCAGTGTGTAAGCTGGGGTGGAGTGGGTGCCAGTACCAAGTGCAAGAGGGATTCTGCCCCAAGCCACCCTGCTTCTAGGAGAGCTGATGTGTAGCCAGTCTGCTGGGTGGCAGTTTGAGAAAGAATTGTGTCTTAAGGTAGGTCTTCAGTTGTGACAGTACAGCCACAGTGCTGTCTTACCCACACCATGAGAATGAGGAGGGGTGGGGGGCAAGTGTGTGGACTCCCTCACAGCACTGTTTGGAACCCAATGGCTCTGGAGGCGAGATCAGCCCTTTGAACACGGGCCCTTATCTGGATTTCCAGGACAGCGGCAGCAGGAGGCCCTGCTAACGGTGCTTGGAGTTTTCAGAGCCGGAACTCGAGCCTTAAATTGTATTTAATTTTACCTTCTTAAGCAAAGACCTGTGCTGTCTGTGGATCTGTGGGTCTTGGTGGCTAAAGCTGAGGGCAGCCTGCCTGCTGGGTGACCCTGGGACTGGAGTATCCCTGACCACCACCCACATACCTACACCCCAGAATCTGCTGAGGTAGCCCTGTGTGGTTCTGAACTCTGGAGCATTCTTTTTCAAACCAAGCGTAGCAGCGTGGGGCCATGGGGCAAATACCAAGATGGAGAGGACTGCAGTTACCAGCAGTCCGAAAGCTGCCTCGGGGTGGAGTTAGAGTGACCACAGCGTTAGTGCGTCATAAGGTTCCTGGATTTTAGTTTCCCCAGTCTGGGCAGCACAGACACTTTTTGCCTGATCCAGAACAGAGAGAAACCAGCAATTGGCTGAGGGTCAGGTCTTTGCAGGTGCTTCACAATTTAGCATTAGAAATGGCCAGTGTAGAAGTGCTGTGTGTCTGTTGGGGCAAAGGTTTCCGAGGACCCAGACAGCCCTGTGGCTTCCCAGACTTTGATACCTGGGCAGATGATGGGGCCATGCCCTAGAGGTGCGGCTGTTTACATTTCAAGAAGGGGAACCTCCGTCACTGGGTTCCTCCAGAGGAAGCACCACTGGCTGGCTCATCACAGGTACAGCTCCAAGTCACCCTGTCCAGGGTGGGTGTCTCACAGTTCCTGGGAGTGAAAGGCTCCGGACCCACGGCTGGTGTTGAAGTGTCAGGACTAGGAGCTCTGAGGCCACTCTGGGCAGCTGTGCCAACCCCATGCTAGAGATCCCCCCATGCTAGAGATCCCCCCATGCTAGAGATCCCCCCATGCTAGAGATGCCCCCCCATGCTAGAGATGCCCCCCATGCTAGAGATGCCCCCCATGCTAGAGATCCCCCCATGCTAGAGATGCCCCCCATGCTAGAGATGCCCCCCATGCTAGAGATACCCCTCCAGGCTAGAGATCCCCCCATGCTAGAGATCCCCCCCATGCTAGAGATCCCCCCATGCTAGAGATCCCCCCCAGGCTAGAGATCCCCCCCAGGTTAGAGATCCCCCCCATGCTAGAGATCCCCCCATGCTAGAGATCCCCCCATGCTAGAGATACCCTCCAGGCTAGAGATCCCCTCCAGGCTAGAGATCCCCCCCCAGGTTAGAGATCCCCCCCATGCTAGAGATCCCCCCATGCTAGAGATCCCCCCATGCTAGAGATCCCCCCCATGCTAGAGATCCCCCCATGCTAGAGATCCCCCCATGCTAGAGATCCCCCCATGCTAGAGATCCCCCCCAGGCTAGAGATCCCCCCCAGGCTAGAGATATCCTCCCCCAGGCTAGAGATCCCCCCCCAGGCTAGAGATGCCCCCCAGGCTAGAGATGCCCCCAGGCTAGAGATGCCCCCCAGGCTAGAGATGCCCCCAGGCTAGAGATGCCCCCAGGCTAGAGATCCCCCCCAGGCTAGAGATCCCCCCCATGCTAGAGATTCCCCCCATGCTAGAGATACCCTCCAGGCTAGAGATTCCCCCCCCAGGCTAGAGATCCCCCCCCCCAGGCTGGAGATCCCCCCCATGCTTGGCGGTTTCTTAGAGAGCTCTCCAAGCTCTGATGAGTCATCCAGGCCATTGTTTCCTCCTGATGACAACATCTAAAGTGGATTGGAACATTAGAACTCTATTTTGGTCCTGCTCCAGTTTCATCAGTGGCCATGGGGGAAGGGAGGTGTTTCTCTGATGGCCACAGCTGGAGATGAGGCTGGGGCCAGCCCAGGCTGCTGCTATTAGGCAAGGCTGCAATCACCCAGGTCTCTTAACTGTCTCCCTTTGAGGTGAAACTCACCAGACAGGTGACTGCAGTATAGACATGGGATGAGGATGGGAATGTTTATAAATGGAAGGACATTTTTTTTTTTTTTTTTTTTAGAAATCGAGATTTCAGGTCACACTGCTGAGCAGGGCAGGCAAGCTTGGGGACCCAGGAAAGCAGGCCAGCTTCTGCTTAGTGTCTCCCATCTGTCCTGCTCCGGTGGGACCCCTGCCTGTCTCCACCTGTCGCCCTTGCCCTTGCCAGTCTCTGCCTGCCCCCTGCAGGGCTCAGCCTGCCCAGGCAGTGGGGTTTCTCAGGCATAGGCAGCAACACCATCAGGGCTCAGAGTGGGGAGATAGGGTCGGGTCTGGGTGGGAGGTGCACGTCAAGCCCAAATAGGAAGGGGCCTCACTGGGTATGTCTTCTCCTTCCAGGGATCCAGGAAGACTTGGCTGCATCAAGCACTCATGAGCCCAAGTCAGACTCAATCTTCATGTAACACAATTTTTTAAATCAATTTTTAAAAATTACCTTTCTAGCCCTGGCTGGTTTGGCTCAGAGGTTAGAGCGTCAGGCCGCAGACGAGCGTTCAGTTCCCGCTAAGGGCATGTACCTTGGTTGCAGTTTGTCCCCGGTCCTGGTTGGGGTTGTGGGCGGCAACCAGTCGATGTGTCTTTCTCACATCGATGTTTCTCTCTTCCTCCCTCTTTCCCTCCCACTCTATCTGAAGATAATGCAAAAATGTCCTCTGGTAAGGATTTTTTAAAAAAATTTCCTCTCTAGCCCTGGACGGTATGGCTCAGTTGGTTGGGTGTCGTCCAGTGCACCGAAAGGTTGCCTGGTTTGATTCCTGGTAAGGGCGCATGCCCAGGTTGGGGGCTGAATCCATAGTAGAGCACATGCCGGAGGCAGCTGATCAATGTTTCACTCTCACATCAATGTTTCTCCCTCTCCCTTCCTCTAAAAATCTAAAAACTTAAAAAAAAAATTTTAAATGACCTTTCTAAAAAGAAATCACTTGGGCCCTGGCCAGTTTGGCTCAGCAGTTAGAGCATCGGCCTGCGGTCCACAGAGACCCAGGTTCGGTTCCCGCTAAGGGCACATACCTCGGTTGCAGTTTGTCCCCGGCCCTGGTTGGGTCGTGCGGGTGGCAGCAACTCGATGTGTCTCTTTCACGTTGATGTTTCTCTCCTCCTCTCTCTCCCATTCTACTTGAACAAAAAATGTCCTCGGGTGAGGATAAAAATAAATAAAAATTAAAAAAAGAGAAATCACTGGTACATGTACAAACCTCAGGAAGGTAAGTGCTCTGCCATGGAAAGGAATAGAATACATATTTAATTGGCATCAGTAACACTAAGGACAGTTTACTGTTTTGGTTTTAATTTTCAATTGGCTGGCAAGCTAATCACAAACTCATAGGTGTTGACATACTTTATTAAATACGAACGCACATCTCATGTTTTATATATTATTGTCTCAGGTAAAAATATATCTTCAGAAATTTGACTTCATAGCTCGTCAGTTACAGAATGACATGATTGTAAATCAGTCTCTTAAAAAAATTCACAACTAAAGTGTAGAGACATCAAGTATTTACAGCACTAACAAGGACCCCGGCCAGTGTGGCTCAGTTGGTTGAGCATCTTCCCTCACTCCAAGAGGTCACCAGTTCAATTCCTGGTCAGAGCACATGCCCAGGTTTTTGGCTCGACCCACAGTAGGGGGCGTGTAGGAGGCAGCCAATCGATGTTTCTCATTGATGTTTCTATCTGTCTCAAAAATCAATAAAACTTGTTTTAAAAAAAGGAAAGCAGTAAAAATTGGTCAACTCTGGGAATGAAGCCTCAGTGTAGAGTGGAGAATGTGCAAGTCACCCCTGCACCAGCAGCTTGGCCCTGCAGCTCTCTCGAAGCCTGGTGATGGTGGTCATGGACAAGCTTCCCGGCTCTGAGAAAATTTTCTGGAAGAGAAACAAAATTGGTTTAAAAACAAACCAAGATAAATTTTTACCGTAGCTGCCCTGTTAAAGATTAGGCTGTGGCAGATGGACAGATGTAAGGACACAGGTGTCCTGCACAGTGAGGGAAGACAGCCCTCAGTCCCTCGTGGTTCTTTATAAATTCTAGATAGCAACCCTTATCAGATACATGGTTTGCAAATATTTTTTCTGGTCACTCTTTTGTTCATTTCCTTGGCTGTGCAGAAGTTTTTAAGTTCGATGTGAACCCGTCGGTGTATTTTTGCTTCTGTTCCCCGTGTTCTCCTTTCTGTTTAGACCCTTTAACTGTTGTATCCTGTAGCAGCTCTGAAGCCGGTCAGGCCGTTCATGAGCAGACTAAGAAGCCAGATGTGAGAAGTGGAAGTAGGAAGAGACTCAGACTCATTTCTAGTAAGAGCAAACACTACTTCAGGAGGAGGAGAAAGGATGGTGTCTCAGGGAGGGCGGCGAGCAGAGAGCCGCAGGCAGGTGCCACAGCTGCGGCACTTCAGGGCCGGGTGTTAGGACTGCCATGAGAACAGACATTTCAAGCTGGCAGACATGCCACTGCATCTTCTATACATAATAACCATTTGCACAGTTACTGCTGAGAAATTCATGGTTATAAATTAGGCTGTGTGTAAAGGCTAGTCATTAAAAAGGTTTTTTTAAAAAAGAAATTGCATTTCTGCCCAGCCGGTGTGGGGCTTGAGTGTCGAGCCATGCACCAAGAGGTCGCCAGTTAGATTCCCGGGTTGTGGGCCTGATCCCCAGTGGGGGACATGCAGGAGGCGG